AAACATGGCAAAATAAAATTGAATGAATGGATAAATGCAAAAATTATGCATGTGCCCACATGTATTATATGACACAGAGAAACAATATGGTCTAGTTCAGACACATACATGTACTGTGTTTCCCTGAAAATAAGACAGGGTCTTATTTGCTTTTAACCCCCGAAATAAGTGCTTGGCCTCATTTTCGGGGAGGTCTTATTATTTTTGAGGTTCAGGAGGCGGCGAGCATGGTCACCTCATGGCTGCTGCTGTGTTGCCATATTTTCAGGGAGGGCCTATTTTCAGGGGAGGGCTTATTTTCGCGCATGCGCTCAAAATCCCGTTTGGACATTATCCCAGGAGGTCTTATTTCCAGGGAAGGCGAGAGAAATAATTTTTGCGTGTTTAACGTGTGGGTGGCCTAGGAAACAAAGCAGTTCCAGAATCTCGATATCCCACTAGAAATACTTCGAAAGCTCCTAATGGAAAGAAGCCACAGAAACAGACCATGAAGTGGGTGCGTGGGATAAAATGAACCCGGATTTTAGGAATCTCCCAGCCTTATTTCTAGTGACTTTGCTAAAGGAGAATCTCTTTGAAAGATTTCGTTTACTTTCTGGTCACTGCACATCATACAACGAAATTGAACGTTGTCTTCAGTGTACATTATAACTATAAAAATAAAAACACAAACACGCCTCCTTCACATTCTATAGCAGTGTTTCTCAACCTTGTCAACTTGAAGATGTCTGGACTTCAACTCCCAGAATTCCCCAGCCAGCATTCGCGAATGCTGGCTGGGGAATTCTGGGAGTTGAAGTCCAGACATCTTCAAGTTGATAAGGTTGAGAAACACTGTTCTTCTATAGGATGGAAATTGAAAACTTGCATTAATATTGCACTATATACTGTAGAATTCAATATAGTTACAGCTCTGGGATAGAAGCTGCTTTTCAGCCTATTTGTCCTTGTTTTTATTATCCTGTACCGGCTGCCAGATGGTAATAGTTCCCAAAAAAAAGGGGGGGGGTGCCAATGATGAGATGGATCTTTAAGAATGCCTTACTTAATTATTTTCATTCTTTAAGAACAAAAGCCGTGTGTCTGACCCTCCTAGGCTGTTCAGCTGCCTCTGAATTGCCTGCAAATTTTGGTTTTTTCTCCTCTCCCTTCCGTTCCTTTCCCAGGCTCTCTCAGTGAATCCGCTAATGTTCTCTTTCTCGTCTCCCCCCCCCTCACCCCCAGGGAACGAAGTGGATCAGAAAGACCTGAGCACAGCCCTATCGCTGATCAAAGACCTGATCTCCACTGTCGACCAGGAAGTGCACAATCAGGAGAAGAATGCGCGGCTGCAGGAAATCTACAGCCGGTTGGACGGACGGACCAAGGCCCACCTGCCCCGGGAGCGGGGGCCCTTCAGCAAGGAGGAGATGCTGCGACGGAAACTGGTCCATGACGGCAGCATGCTCTGGAAGACCCCCGCCGGGCGCTTCAAAGGTGGGACGGTGTTCTTGCTTGAGGGGCAGGAAAGGCCCCCTCTCCCCACCCCCACCCCCCTCCCTGCCGTGGTTTAGCTTCTGAACTAAGGAGAGGCCGGTTCTGCAAACAGATTAAGCGAATTAATACACTGAGCCCAACATTTCTTTGTTAAATAAGACATTTGTTAGGGTGAATTTTGCCCTGTTGTGTTGTTAAGTGAATCACTGTCATTGATTTGTCCATAACCTGGTTGTTAAGTGAATCACTGCAGTTGTTAAGTCAGTAACCTGGTTGTTAAGTGAATCACTGCAGTGGTGAAGTCAGTAACCTGTTTGTTAAGTGAATCACTGCAGTTGTTAAGTCAGTAACCTCATTGTTAAGTGAATCACTGCCGATGTTAAGTCAGTAATCTGGTTGCTAAGTGAATCACTGCCGGTGTTAAGTCAGTAACCTGGTTGTTAAGCGAATCTGATTTCCCCGTGGGCTTTACTGGTCAGAAGGACACAAAAGGGGATCATATTACCCCGGGGACCCTGCAACCGTCATAAATATGAGTCGGTTGCCAAGCGTCTGAATTTTGATTGCATGATCATAAGGATGCTGCAATTGTAACAACTGTAAAAAATAATCATGTCTCATTTTTCTATGCTGTTGTAACTTTGAAAGGTCCACTAAACAGATTGTTGTAAGTTGAGGATTACCTGTAGATATTTTGGGTTGGGTTCTGTAGTGGTGTCTCCTTCTGTGAGGCTTTTTCTCTCTCCGTATTTAGGGTGAAACATGGAATAATCATGGCCACTATCATTTATTCCTTCGTACGTCTATTTGACCTTGTCTTTTATTTATACAAATCAAGGAGATGTGCAGCTATACAGCATGGATAGTCCTCAACCTATGACCACAATTGAGCCCGGAATTTATGTTGCTAAGTGAGAAATTTAGCAATAACAATAGCCCTTAGACTTACATACCACTTTATAGTGCTTTTATAGCTCTCTCTAAGCGGTTTACAGAGCCAGCCTCTTGCCTCCAACAATCTGGGTCCTCATTTTACCCACCTCGGAAAGAGGGAAGGCTGAGTCGACCTTGAGCCGATCAGGATCGAACTCCTGGGAAGGAAGGAAGGAAGGAAGGAAGGAAGGAAGGAAGGAAGGAAGGAAGGAAGGAAGGAAAGAAGGAAAGAAGGAAAGAAGGAAAGAAGGAAAGAAGGAAAGAAGGAAAGAAGGAAAGAAGGAAAGAAGGAAGGAAGGAAGGTCTAGCAATAGGACAGTCTTATATATCGCTTTACAATGCTTTCCAGCCCTCTCTAAGCAGTTTACAAAGTCAGCCTCT